GTACGTTGACGTTCTACCGCTTTCTTTCTCAAATAATAATGCAAGCTTTCGCAATTGTAAGCTTTCGCAAAAACTAATAATAAAATACACAATAATAGGAGATAGGCGAAAAGTGATAGGATATATGTCATTTCAAGATCCAAGAGTAGCTGGAATGACTTGTGTTTCTGCTTCTCATTCTCGTCAAGAGCATGGACCTTCGTGCTGAGACTGATTCAATGTTTTTTGTATTCAATGAAACCATTTCCATGTCGGAATGACCTATCGCCTATCGCCTTTGGCGATGACAACGTATTTTGAATTAGGTATATATGAAGTCTACAGCTTAACGTCAAGAAAAAAAGTATTCTATTGAAGAAATAGAAAACGCGCGCGCGTGCTGTGTGCAGTTATAAAGCACGCGGGATTTGGCAGAACACAAGAGAAGTGTTAGGAGAAGCATGACACGTAGCGGAGTGCTTTTCGACACTTCTCGGGTGATCTGCCAATCACCAAGTGCTTTATAAACTCCACGCACAGCACAGCACAGTAGGCAAGTTTTTTTTTCTTTTATGAAATACCAATAACGTGAATGACGAAACTGAAAGTACGCGAGCGTGCTGTGTGCTCTCATATAGCACGCACTTCCAACAAATCAGAACGCGAGATTTAGAACAGTTAATTTATAATAAGTATTTAAGTAAGAAAAGTAAGGAGTTTACCTTAGGAACAAAAGCTAGCCAATCCATGATGGCTGCTATACCACCAAAATCATCTGGTACCACCATGTGAGTAACACCTTGATAAAAACAAAAATATTCTTAGATTTACAGGTAAATTGTTAACAAAAAAAGTACAAATCTCACCATGGAATACTCTAGTTTCGAGTTCTCTGTTGCTCAGGGTTAGCCTCGAATTCGTACAGAATATTCATGTGTTCCAGTGAAGGTCCGTGGAATTTCAAAGTGTTTGTATCGTTGAAGTTATGCATTCTTTACTTTACCGTTGGTATTTGTGAATATTTAGACACTGATACGAGGCTAAGCCTGAGTAAATGAGTCGGCAATCAATGAATGCAGCGGGAATTTGGAATTCCAAAATGCTCTGTTGAACCAGTGCTCCGACGTTACTCGGAAAACTGGTAACGAATAGGGCTGTTTTATGAAGGCCATTTGTATCTTTCGTTTTACAGGTTTCAGATTTTGAATCGACTCATATTTACTTTGCTTTTCGGACTGATTTTCATGAGGGTTTCTGAAGCTTTCCGCCATATTAAAAAAATGCAGTCTTTAAAAAAGCCCCATGATTCAGCGCGTGCTTCGGAAGGGCCAATAATGTATGTCTTCTTACCGTTATTGTGCATAATCTGTGGTCCACCTAGCTGCATGTTAGAGCTGTACACCTGACGTCCAAGAACCTAGCGTGACAATAATTTTGTATTAAGAAAACGTTAGAACAAATACAGCTTTTTCAAAACAGGTTGCATGTTCAATACCAAGCCCGAACTGCTCTATTGATGGTTTTCACGGCGGCCATGTTGGAGGAATTTAACAAAAGAATTATCAATGAATTCTTTTGTTATATCCTCCAACATGGCCGCCGTGTCTTTTGTTATTTAATTCTCTTGGGAATGGTTGAAAACCATCAATAAATTCGTATTAAGAAAACGAGTTGTAACAAATACAGCAATTTCAAAAACCGTTGCACGTTGAATACCAAGCTGAACTGCTCTATAGGTGATGTGGAAGGACACAACGATATAAAATTCTCCAAGTTTTTCGGGCAGAATTTCTTCTGTTGACATTATTTACATATGAATATAATATATTTCAAGCCTAATATAGGAATCAACATGCAACAAAACCTAAACCAGCTACACCAACCTTTTTTGATATAGCTGTACATCAAGAGAAAATGAACTAAGAGAAGGAATCTCTGATATTCATGCTCGTATAAACCATCATAGGCACCGTTTGATGCTATTTTTAGAATCACAGGGAAGAGCGCGCGATGCGCATTCAGAAAAAAGATTGATTCTTAAAATAGCATCTAAGTTTCTAAAAAATAGCATAAAAGTAGATTATTTTCCCCTGTGTATATTTATCTTCCTACCACATATGCTTGTTCACTTACCTTATTTAGAGCATTGTATCCTGTGAGAATTAAATGAGCGTTTTCTGTTTGAATGACTCTCTGACCAAGACGCACTAAATAAGAACCAATTCCAACAGCACGGCAGGTTACCTGAAATGAAAAAAACAAAAATYCAAAACTATCAAACAACTGTACAACACACATCGAATATATCCCTTACAACACGTCGGAATGCAGCTCAATTTGGAGGACATAATGATAGGTTTCCAATTCTCTTGGGATTTTTTGAAAAAACTTTGTCCTAAACATCCCATGCACGAGGTCTATTAGAATCTACGTCTTATCCACGTTTATGCATTAACGTCTAACGGCTCTGTTTTTGTCTCAGCGAAAGCGCATCGACCGCTTCGCGTCCACCATAGCGTTTTCATAGCGTCGACACTAAAACGATCAAAAGGCACATACGAGTCCACATCCGATCGGAAATGATAGAATATCATTATCTGCGCATGCGAAAAACAGACATGCCAGTGTGAATGACGTCAGCGTTTTCAAAAGCCTCAGCGTTTCGCTCGTCCACACTAATACGATAGGCCTCCACTTTCAAGTCTTTTTACTCTGGAGAGCGCTCGAATGAAGGGAGAGATCTTACAAACTCTGCTCACATGTGATGGCGAGTCCAGGACTATCGAACCGTAGACCCCAGAGGGTGAGAGGCGAGAGTACTACCGCTACACCTTGATTCCCTATGGATCATTTTGGGTCTTCACAGAACGGTAAGTGTAGAATCCTTACCAGGCTAATGGTAACAGTGTCCATATACGCAGCATCCATCTCTCCTGCTATCATTCCAGAACCTTGAAGATTCTCTACTCCTATTCCTCCTTCGCTCCCTGTACATGGAACAAAGTAATGTTAAGGTGCGATTACACGAAGCAATTTTCTCTGCAACTTGTCTCGCAACGGTGTTGCGACACAAGTTGCAAGACTGTTTACACGGTGCAACGGTGACATTCTATAGGCACGTGCCCGTATAGCTTTGTGTTTTCAGACAATTTTATGGAAACGTCTGTGATTGACGTCCACCAAAACCTTCTTCGTCGCGACAAAAACAACCGCTAGAGGGCGCATGTGATTAAGAATCGCTGTAATAGATGGTGTTTTCAAAGTTTTCTTACCTATAATAGTGGTTATCTTGTAACGGGCCTCGCCATCGTCTTCAATCATTTCAGCATGTACAGAATTCGTGGCACTAAGCTGATGAAGAACAAACGTGGACACAAGTTAATACAACACAATAAAGTAATTTATAGCCGTTTAAAGCAGAGGTTGAAGTTACCTTCTTGAAGTCACTTGGGGTGAGATAGAGGTATTTAAAGCCCTGAGTAAAAAAGAAAGAAAAGAATATTGCATGGATGTCTGGCTAATAAACGTGAATCAAACATCACTGGAATGTTGTTTTTGACTTGCATGTCGCTGACAATCAATCAAATGTCATTTTTTCTTCAGTTTTTTACCTTTTCAGGGCATTTTGGATCGTTCCAGGCTATTTTGAACAGGTGTTTGACTTCCTCTGCAACGCCTAAGCGAGCACCACTGTTTGCGGAAAGATACACGAAGGGTATACCTTTGGAACGAGCGAGTTCAGAGGCTCGCTGCAGTAAAAAAATAAAAAAAACTTATATATATACTGAGTATACTGAGTTGTTAAGTACGCAATGTATTAATGGTAAAAATAATTCCAGAATCTTGTCTCATAACTACTGGTCTTCAATCATTCCAAGGCCTGAAATAACAAAAGACATGGCGGCCATGGTGGTTGATAGAACAGAGACTAGTGACGATTTTTTTGTTAAATTCAACCAAGATTGCAGCTATGAAAATAAATACTATTCTTAGAACATGTTTGGCGAGGACAGAAAACCTAGAAAAATAATGATGCTAAGCTAAGAACAAAAAGTTCGCTGGTTGGCGATCAAGGCGGAATGTGCGCGTTTACTAACCTTGAAGAGAAAATCCTCTTCGATCGCAAATGATCCAATCATGTGTGTGATGTCATTTGCAACAACGATGATCTGTTATAGAAAAAATAGAATTGAAAACCTATCCCAAATAACCTAAGTATAAGTACCTAAAAGGAACCGAAAAGGTGGCAGATGGGCATAATGTTTTCCCATTTCAGTCCACGTGTCATTCCCTAGAGTATCATACGACACATGAATACGGATAACTCACACGTTGACACGTTGTCTTAAATGGAAAACGTTATGCCAAAAGGAAATAGGTCTAAAGAATCCCTTTACTATGAGAAATTGAATTCTTTCTCATGTAAAACGATTGTATTGTTCCTGCCATCTAACATGGCTGCCATCACGAGATCCAGCAACACCTCTTTACCTCTCTTTTCTCTGGACATTCAGGAGTCGCGCATTCCATTTTCCAGGCAATCATTCCAGTCTAAAAAATATATAATAAATGTAAATACCGATTACATACGACGAGAAACTCCACCTACATGAATAATTTATTTTTTCTAGAATTGACTTGAAATTCCAGGAATGTTTTAAGAATTATAGGAAAAAGGAGAATTTTTTAGAATTCTCCAGGACATTTCCAGGAATTACGGTATCACAGTAGTGCAAGTAACAGTCAAAATTATAACAAAACTCTGATAAGCAAAATAAAATCTCCCAGGAATCTTCCAGAGCCCTAAAAACATCTTTATATTAAAGGGCACTTAAGGAATTACATGATTGACGGTACTCTGCTGTAAGTCATTAAGTGTCATTTATTACCGTGTTTTCCCCAGGCAAACGATTGATGGGCATCAACTGGTTGTTTTCATCCAGAATGTACTCAGTTACAGTTATCTGAAAATAGAAAGATCTGGTATAAGTTTCAACCAACAAGACAAGTTGATTAGGGTGGGAGGATTAGGGGGCGATAGAGTAAGGGAGGAGTAAGAGAGGGAGGGAGGGAGGAAGCAGGGAGGAAGAAGGGTAGCAAGGAAGCAAGGAAGCAAGGAAGCATAGGAAGCAAGGAAGCATAGGAAGCAAGGGGAAAGCAAACAAGCAAGGAA